ACATTCTGTGATTCTGTGATTCTGTGAAGGAGGTCCTGCTACCACAAAGAGCTTCCAGACGTGAGTTTTTTCCACTTATGTTTTTAATAATGATTTCTGGGAGAGAGAGAAAGAAATACCTTACCTTGTCCCATAGATGAGCTCTTTACAAATGTCATGCTGTATATTTTGCACTGGCCTGAATCCGCCATGCATGTATCTGTAGAAGGCAGATGGTCCACCATATAGATGTACACCATTTTGGGGTCACATCATTGGAATGCCTTATAGACAGCATAGATGCAAGTATTTCAGTTTTGTTTACCCATTGCACGCTGGCTGAACACCTGTGTTACTGAGACTGCAGTATAGTTTACTTTGGATTGTGACGGTTTCTTTTTTCCCTATGGTGGATGACCTGCTTATACCATGAAATTTTATCTTCCTTTGATAGGACTATGTACTGGCTGGAACGAAGTTAATTTTCTTCACAGCAGCCCACATGGATTTGTGTTTTGGATTTGTGACTAAAACAGTATTGGTAACACACATCTGTTTTGGCTGACGCTGTGCAAGCACTGCTCAGCAACAGGGCCTTCTTTTTTTCCCCGCTCCCCAGCAGGCAGGGTAGGGGTGTGCAAGAGGCTCAAATGAATGCAGCGGGGACAGCTGACCCAAATTGACCAGAGGGATGTTCCATACTGTATATAACATCACACTCAGGGATAAAAACTGTGAAGGTGGGGAGGTGGTCTTGCAGGTAGCCATTGCTCAGAGTCTGGCTGGACATTAAGGTCCTGATTTCATGGGGACAGAATCATAGAATCAAATTTCTGTTGAGAGAAACAGCATTTTTGAGAAGACTGCAGCAACCAGTTTGATGGGAACAAAGTTGATAAAACACCTTGTTTTAGTTTGTGGCTATCCCTGGTATGCAGGTTGCCATAGTGATCAAGGTCTTTAGCAGTTTCGAGTTAGCCAAGTGCAGAAGCTAGGAGGAGCAAAAGCCAAGGCACCTGCCTCTATCTGGACCACAGAAGTAATCTACACCATAGATGTCATGCTTGCTATAAATTGGAAAGTTTCCCAGGGATGGCCCTTCTTCTTCTTCTTCCCTCTTTCCTTGATGGTCATCGTCACTGGAGGGTCTCACCCAGCATTCTGCTCCCAAGGCCTACTCCCCCATTTGAGATGACCGTTGTGCTTTCACTGGAGCTCTGGTGCTCACAGTGTTTGACATCCTAGCATTCACTGCTGGGAGTGCACAGCGTGTGACCTCTATATGGGCTGAGTATAACTTTGTGTATTTTATATTAATATTTGTATTAGTATTAGGCTTTATTATTTTTTTATTAATTCTCTTTCCATTTCAACCCATGACTCTCCTTTCTCCTTGGGTGGGAGGGGATTATTGGGTAATAGAACAACTGGCTAAAACTGCTCGTAGGAGGTGGGGAGTGAGTGAGCAACTGGATGAGTGCTTAGTTGCTGGCTGGTGTCAACCCACCACAGACTATTACGTTTACTGTATCCAATAACAGTATCTTTACATCTTTCACTGCCAGCTGAGCATTTGCAGGCATCCCTGAAGTGAGGACAGAGCATCAGATTGGCTTTGGAAAAAAAATATATTATGAAAGTAAGGAAGAATAGTCTAGGTAAATGTAGTGGGAACTGCAAAAATAGAAAACTAGAAAATTCTAGAAAACTAGAATTGTGTTTACCGTGATAAAGGTGGTGTTTGAGAGAGGTATGATTTGAAGTTAAAAAAAAAAAGAAAGACAACTGAGAAAATGTAGAGGGAACATCATATTATTTTGTGTTCTTAAAAGGACACATAATATGGTAATAAACTATCCTCATTATGGGTGTTTTTAGCAACTCTGAGAAATTCATAGGTGGTATAATTATATTATTTTCAGATGAAAAAAATTAGAGAGGCAACATAAAAATTAACAAGGGGTTTTAGCAGCTAGAATTATTGACTAGCAGTTTAATATCCCATGAAGAACCTTCTGTTCTACCATAATTAAAGATGTCATTATGATTCCACCTACCAAAACCAAGGAGATAGTCAGTTTACATAGGTATATAAGTACTAGTTAGCATGCCTTCTTTCGGACCAGAGATTTCTACAGTGAAGTATTAGTTGTGAAATTATAGTTGAAGGAGGAGACTCCAGAGAGCACCCTCCAAGAAAGACAGGTTTGTCATAGGACAAATTAATTATTCCTATCATATATTCACATGTATGATATGTATTTTGTTTTTTCTGAATTTCTTCAAAATTACTGTTCTATGAAAGACTGCCTTCAGATGGCCTTTTATTTTATCCGTGTTGCAGTTTGTTCCTGGGAATATGGTACATCTTAGTCGTTTTCACAGAATTACAGAATTGCGGTTGAAAGGATGATTGGAGATTGTGTAGTCCAGCTGCTTTACTCGGATTCAACTAGAGAGCATTACTCAGGGTTGTGTCCAGTCTGGTTTAGACTATCTCCAAGGCTGGCAATCCTGCAGCATCTTTGGACAACCTGTTCCACTGTTTTATCACTGTCGCAGCATATTAAAATGGAATTTACTGTGTTTCAAATAATGCCCATTGCCTCTTGTCCTTTCAGTGAGTACCACTGAGTAGAGTCTGGCTCCATCTTCTTCAAACCCTCCTGTCAGGTATTTCTACACATTGATGAGATCTCCCCTGAGCCTTCTTTTCTCCAAGCTAAGCAGTCCCACCTCTCTCATCTTCATTCCCTGTTTCAGATGGTCCTAGCCCTTCATCATCTTCATGGCCTTTTCTGGACCTGCTCCCTTGTGTCCATGTCATTCTTTCACTGGGGAGCCAGAACTGGACCCAGCTCTCCACGTATGACCTCACCAGTACTGACAGAGGGGTAGGGTCACCTCCCTCACATGACCTTCTGGCACTGCTCTTCTTTATGCAGCCCAGGATGCTGTTGACTTTCATGGCCATGTTGCTGTCTCATGTTCAACCTGTTGTCCACCAGGACCCCCACGTCCTTGTCTACAAAGCTGCTTTCTAACTGATCAGTCCGTAGCCTGTACTGTTTCATGGACTTATTCCTTCCCAGGTACGAGACCTTGCATCAAAACATATCTTCCAATTTTCAGCAATGTTTAGGCTGGGAATTCTATTTTCTGCTTTAAACTCGAAATTTTTAAATATATCTCAAAAAGATACGCTTTTATTTTATTGCATTATATCTGTAAAAGTTTTATATCTTTTCATAAACATACACTCTTTATAGTTAGGATATTAAGCTAGGTGGTCTGATCCAATTTTTATGTTCCAAACATAATTAAAAACAAACAGGAAAGGAAAATTCCACAGTCATATTCAAACATGCTCACAAATACACACACTATAAAATGTGATATTTTAAGTTTCAAACTTTTGTCTATACATTTGTGATTTGGAAGGTAAAGCGATGGAATATTACCTTTAACCAAATATCTGTACTTCAGCAGCAGCATTTTTACATGGATTTTTCCATGTAGATGAAAATTTCATTTTAATGCCCCAGCAGAGGCTGCTCATGTTAGATCTCCTATATTTTGTCATTTATTCTACCCCTGTCTCTTCTACCTAATTTTATTTGCTTAGGGTTTATTTTTTTGCTCTGCCTTGTGTACCAGAGGAGATACTATAAGTATTCTTAGCCATCAGTCTTCTCCCAAGTGGTTTTCACCAGCTAGAAACAGGTTCTTTGCCATTTAAAGTAATCATATTTAATAGAAGAAATGGTCCATCTTTGTAATGGATTCAGTGATGTTTTTTGTTTTTTTTTTCTTCTATTTAATCCTAAAAAATGTATAGTTGAACTATTATTCTTCTGTAATTTAGAAAAATACTTGAGAGCAAGTTAATACCAGGAAATAGTTAACATAAATAAACTTGAAGAGGACTGAAACTGAAGAGATCAAGCTATATTTAAAAAAGCAACAGAAAAAAAAAAGACATATTATTGTCTTGACTATTTAATCTTTGGCTGTGTGAATTTGGAGGTGTTAAATTATCCAGACAATGCCTTGCGAATTTTTGCTATTGTCAATAGAAGCATGTTGGGAATTACATGGAGCAAAATAAGCATTGTCTAACAGACTACAAATTTCAAACAATATGTATTCTCTAGTTCATATCAGGTTTTATGGGAATGTAAAATATAATGCTGATCAGACTTAATTTATGTTGTGTTTTATGACTGTGATAAAACAGAAAATAAAAATAGCAACAAGAATGTTTAGTCATATTATTTTCCATAAATAGGAAGTCCTCAATAAAATTGTTCTGTTGCTGTGTTAGTTAAATAGGTTAGTTTAAAAAACCAAGCAAGTAATGTTATTTGGATTGCCCTATGTCAGATTTACATGAAATAGAGTATTTTCACATTTAATTTGCTCTGAGGTTATAAAATAAAATTGTATGTAATGTGCTGTCATGTGCTCTTATGTTTATTAACTTCATTTACTATTGTTTTGTGGTTTTCTAAAATAAAAAAAAACCACAGCAGTTCTGTTGTTTTTGTTACATGTTGAAGCTTTTATTGCTTTTGAACTGTGTTAAATTCGATTATACAGAAGTGCTTAAAAGCCTATTTTCTAAAGGAAAGATGTATTTTTATCTGCCTCCCTTCTTTCTCACATTTCACATGGAATGTATTAGTAAGTCCCTGTCACTTTTGTTATTCTGTGATATAAACTCAAAAGCAGACTGAGTCGACCAGTGAATATTTTCTCTGGTTGTTCAGCACAGATGAAAAATCTGTTGGGAACCATTCCCTGTTTGCTCAAGGCTGTGCCACTTCAGTGGCTGAAAAGGATTTAAAAGAGTGTTCCTGACCCAGTTCTGTCTGGGCATTTTTCAGATACTTTTATTTTTTTTTATTTCTTTCCATTTTGATACCTCATAAACATGTTGGCCTTTGTTTTACTCTGCCTTACTGGATTTCTGACTGATGTGCTAACATTTCAATGTGTCCTTCTGCAGGTTGTTAAATGTGCTATGCTGTGAGCTCAATACCCTTTTACTCTTGGAGACTCAGTATAAAGTGTCACAAGTTTTACTAACTGCTCAGGAGGAAAATGTCACAGAAACTTCAGAAGGGCCAGGGTAAGAAGTGACTGATGTAAATGTTATTCTAACTTTCAAACTTTTCTCCTGTCAACAAAAAAATGACTACCTTCGTGGCTTGAAACATACAAATGCTCTCACTCAAGTTGGCTTCTAATGTGCATTAGTTTACTTAACATCCAGATTTGTCATCAATTTTAAGTTAGTAAATATACAACAGTTTTGCTCTTTCTCCCACTTTAACCTCAGAAGTCTAAGAAATAAGAAAGCAAATATTTTTCTCATTTTTGTTTGTTTTAATCTTGAGTTATTTCCTTAAAAAAGTGCAAAAATTATGGATGTGAATATGCCCTTTTACTTTATATTATTTTTCATGTTATGTATATAATATAAAATTAGGGTATTGTTTTCATGTTTATGAGTTAAAGACATCATCAGTACTTTTAGGGAGGGGATTGTTTCATTTTATTATAACTTAGTCAACTCTCCAACTTCTGTGACTTTCCATTGCTGACTTCTAAATAAAATTCCACAATGCACCCTTTCAAAAGGAAAAGTGTATTTTTAGGACAGAAACGAACAGTTATTTGGTCATAGACATTTTGTCCTTCCTCTCAGCATGCTGAATTTTAAGAAATTTCCTCTTACTGTTTGTTATGTGAGACCAGTACAGAGTTTAAATCAAACAGTATGGGTGAAATCTCAGCAGATACAGATGTTTGTTATGTACCATTTGAGGATGAAATGTGCTATTTCCTTACTAAGGAAAAACTCCAAAGAAACTTGGTGTATAAAAAACAATTATTATTCCTTTCATAAAATTTGTACCTTTGTGTACACAGTGACTTCAGACAGCAAGTTGGCTATGTGTTAAGTTATTAATAACTCTGCTTATTTATGACAGTAGAAGTTTTCTGGTAGGCCAAATAAGGAGCAATATTTGATGGTCTATTAACTATCTCTGCCCTAATTACTGAGCATGTTGGCATAACAAAGCTTGCAAAGTTTTCTGCTCTTTTGTGTCCGGTAATTGCTCAGATGTTTCCAATCAGCAGTAGGTAAGGAAGTACAAAGGTAGGATAATTGCAGACATCTCAAAATACTTCATGTTGCTGTTGGTTTCTTGTCTATGTGTTTTCCAGATTGTGTTTTAACCCCAGTATGTCTCTTAAGATGTCCTTACTCATTAAATATTTCTGAATTAAACAGTCAGTAAATCAAAGTGATTCTATTTTTTTAAGGTTTTTGTTTTGTTTTTTCCCCTAGAAATTTTATAATTGATGGTCTATCAGTGGAGAGAAACCATGTTCTTGTAAGGATAAATCTGATTGGAGGACCCCAGGAAAGGATTTTGCCTTTGAGAGTACTAGATAAGGTTAGAATCTGAAGTTTGTTTCTCTTTCCTTAACTCATGTCTTCATTATCAGGAAAAAAGTTCAAGTAATTCAGGGTATGGAAAATTATTTAACAGTCCACCGTTAGCTAAAGGGCTAAAATTTTTAAGAAGTGATATACTTAAAAAATACATCGTTTCCATTATTTGGGGGTTTGCACGTGCCTAGTACGTATCACGTTCAGATGAAATGTTTATATTGCTCCATTGTATTGTTACTTTTCTGACTGTAAAAGTGAATGCAATTTGTCCTTTTTTTTACTTTTATATTTCTGTATTTTCTTTATTAGCTTTTCATTTATTATGTATTCCTTTTATCTGATATTTTTTCCATGCTTGGGTTTTCATCTGCAGTATCTAATACCTGGAACTTTCATTGACGTTCTAACAACACAATGTTCAGCAGCTCCTTTAAATATTCTGCTCCTCACTATCTGTCAGTCTGGTAAAGGTGAAATGCAAATTACTGTAGACACAGCAAAGACAGCTAGATCAATGTAAAAAATTGGAAATACAGTGGGAAATAGAGTTGAGTTGTTTATTTTTATAAAAACTATAATTTCCTTTTTGGTTGAAAAAAAGAACTGTAACATCAAAACTGTCAGCGGTGTATACTGGAAAAAGTTCTCACTCAAGTGCCTTTTGGATTTTGTATCCTTTAATTTTTTATATTTTTTTTTCATTATGGAATACGTCATTGCAAATTGTAGTATCAAGCGTCATTTTGGTGCAGAGGCAATAATTCTGGGATGTCTACCTGTGTGTTAATTGAGTAAATGTTATTCATTCCTCTCCTAAATTAATTTATTTCTGGTCCTGTTTCTAGGGTAGTGATCCATATCCGTGGCCAATGTTTTCATCATTCCCTTTGCCAAAGTGCTATCTTGCAGAAATTCCTAGGAAAGCTGAATTCAGACAAGGTACGTACAAAGCATGCAAGCAGTGTAGATGTCAAATAAGCGTCTCTGTAGGTTTTTAAATGTTTTTCCTTCCTCCCCACCCCCCGTCCCCCAGATTATAATCTCATAAATGCTTAAGGATTTTTTATTGTTGACTGCATTAGTAGCTAAATAAGTTGGTTTGGTTTTGCTTGTCTGGCTTTGTGCAACTGTCAATCCGCAAAGCTCTGTTTAGTAATCTAATTTTTATGCAAACTTCAAGATTAACCTTTTGGCTCGTCTCAGGTGGGTGACTCACGAGATGTATTTATATCATCTCTCTAGTAACTGAAGCAAGACAGTGTGGTTAAGCTACAAGTTTTTTGTACACTGTTTTCGTGATTTGGATCCCTGTGTTTACAAAGCTTGGTGGTGTGTGAAATAGACGGCATTTAGGATAGTTGGTTTCCACACTGAACATCAATTTGGGATGTGGGCAGACTGAAGAATCCTTTTAAAACTATCTTGGCAAAGCAGTTTAATTCATACAGAGAAACCGTTTTAAGGTTTTAATTTGCATAGACAATGCAAAAGAATCTGATGAATGGTTTATAGTAAATAAAGTATTCTTTGTATTTGTCCATGTCTACTGTATCCTTGACATGTACTTATTAGAAATATTTGTTAATTTCCTTAGCAGATAAAGATTTTCAAAAGTGATAGAAATTCTACATTAACTGTAGAATACAAAATAGTCTGTTTATAAATATCTAGAAAAACCTAAAAAAAGGTGATTCTGTTCTCTGACAAGAGGAAAGTCTGTGTAGTTATAAAAGAAGGGAGTTTTCTGTATCTTAAATTTGGTAGTACTGTTCCAGGCTTCCCAACAGTCAAATCACTGTAAAGTGGATACCCATTTATTTTAAAAATGTCTTCAAGGAGGCAGGTAGTGTTGCTCTTGGATTGGAAAAGCAAATTTAATTGTATTCCACAGAACTTCTCTGTTCTCTTGTTCAGAGCAATTCGGTTGCTCATCACTGACAAGTGAGATAATGGAATGGAGTCTTAGTTGTCACAATTGTGGATGGCAACCAGCTAGGAAAGCTATGTAAAACTTTTTGACTAACAGTAAATTTGCTGAAATGAAGTTTTAAAGGTTTGCAAATGTGTTTGATGAAGTGTTGAGGTATTTTCATTTGAAATGGCGTTTTTGATATTAAAGGTAAGTGAAGTAAAATAACATATAACTGAAATATTAACACAATACATAGATTCATAGTCAAAGTATTTTGTGTTTGCTGTTTGGAAAAAAAAAAGAAAAAGGAAAACAAAACATTGAAAGTGTTAAATTTCACTTCTCATTTAAAGAAAAAAAAGATGATTCTTTCACCAAACTGTGAATGTCTGGTTTGCCAGACTGAAGCTGTCAGGATGTGTAAGTTATTTTGAAAGAAAGTATCAGAATAAATATATCAAAAATGAAAAGAATGATATTCATAAATTGCTATTTCCAGTGCTTGGAAAAAAAGAAATCAAGAGCATGAGCAGAAGATGAGGACTATCTGAACTGTATTCTTCAGCACCACAGTAGAGCAGTGGCAGTGCACTTTCACAAGAGAGGTTACAAACATAATTGTGAGACAGAACTGTGAGTTACGTTTCTGTAAGACAGAAGATGATCTTTGTCAGCTGAAGGTGGCGAGTCCTTGGGTGGAGTACCTCTAGCACCAGCACTTCGATCTGCATAGATCCATTTGAGGGATTCTAGAGCATAGCTATAGATCGTGGCTTTCGAATGTGGTATGCGCATATAGATTGAAATAATTGGAACTGGCTGATGCTGAAAAAACAGAGATCATGCAGGTCTCTTAGTATGTTAAAAGCCATTACAAAGAGGGCAGAATGATTGTTTTCTATGTCACTGTGCAGAAAACGGAATAGTTGGCTTACTTGCTAATTAAGATTGGTTACATATTAATAACAAAAAATATCTAGAAGGGTACAACTGGAAGTTGTGAAATCATCATTAGAGGTTTTAAGAACATCTTTTTTGACGTTGTGAATATTCAGGATTCACATTGTGTGTTACACAGCTTGCTTGGGTGAGACAAATACTTGTTCAATTTTAACTCTGCTTCAGTGCAAGGAGCTGGACAGAGTTCAAACAGACTTCTGGATGGCAGGAGTTCTGCAGCCCTGCGAACACTTGAGCATGGTATGAGTGGGATCGCATGACTGCGTTGTCACACCTGTCACCAGGGATCACAGGCCAGCGCAGCGCTTCTGTGATTCCCTAGAGCTGTCTGCCTTCAGCTTTCATCCTGTGGTGTTTCGCTGTGTAACCTCTGCAGTACCATTCCTTTCCTCTTTTGGGGGTGTTTCTATCATGTGACTAATTAAGACTACTAGATTCTTAGCACTGTTAATGTGCAGTTTCTTTGGCTGAAAGGCTGTAACTGTAGGTTTTATACTGGCTGTCCTGACCTCTTATTTCTCTCCTCTGTTATTACTGGGGTGACATGGACACCTGAAGACAAGCTTACTTTTTCTTTCTCCTTTGAAAATTGGTCCTGTGTCCATCACAAAATTGTGATGTCAGCTATAAAAACATTACCTGAGTAGAACTTATTTTTTAAATATATCTATGGAATGGCTATTGGAGATGACTGGGGGGGAAGGAAATAAAAGGGATTACAGATGTCCACTCTGTTATGATACTGCTGGCTCTGAACATGTCTCTCTTCTGATCCTCCCTTCAGATGTTGCTGAAGGACAGATGCAATAACAGAACCTTCATTTCTCAGAACTGTCTCTCAACTAATGGAAGTTGCCTTTCTGAGTTCAAGCTGAAATTAATCCCTGAATACTTTGAAATTGGTGTGGCTGTTGCTCACTGAAAAGATTTTGTACTGTTGAGGTCAAGGAACGGGAAGCTTCATTTCCACAGCCCTAAACCTCATGTAGCTCGTGAATTTATAATGGAAAGCATAGATAAATCTTAAAGTAACACATGAGTTGTGGTCACTGAAAAGGACTTACTAACACTAAATTTTCTGTGAAGAAAATCTAAGAAATAGGTTTGAAGGGTTTTTTTCTTCTCTGTCTAATATCTTTTGAAGGACATTGGTAAACATGCAGCACTGGCACCTTTGTGGTAGTTCAGTCTGAGGGGAAAAGCAGGGAGGACTAGTTAACTGTAAGAAAAAGCAGAGTGGTGCTAACTCTGCAGTGTCTGAAACATGTATTTCCCAGCACCAAGGCCCTAAAGGCTGCATCTTAGAGAAGCAGACTCTTTAAATTATTCTGTGCTGATGTAGTGCTCACAAACAGTGGCAACTAGATATTCTGCCTCACTGGATCAAAAATGAAGCTATCCTAATTTATACTGGTAACATTAATAACTACATTGAAGTGGTGGAGTACTTGCTCCATTTCATGATGACACTTCAAATGGGTAGACTCACCCAAAAAGTATGTTTGTATTTGAGGAAAAACTGTAGTGCCTCACTCTTTACAAATATTTGTCCTGGTTTTGCAGATGTTAGGCATCTGCCTGTATGATATAAGTCTCTGTTGGAAAGGATATATGGAAAAACAAACTTGCTGGGTTGTGTATTAATATGCATTAATTATTTCAGCCGATATTTACAGTTAGAAAACTATTGGATAGCAGTATATTAATGGTTCGCTTCTGTCAAAGATAATTTATAGTGAAGCTTCAAATAATTTATGCGGATCAGTATTTACATGGGGAAATTAATTATGCCATTTTCACCTGTTTACACTGTAGCAGGATACTCTGTTGCTTTTCTTTTGTCTTAATTGTTCCATTATTATTTTAGTAAGATAATATGAGGAAGAATTATTAAGTGGTTTTCAAAGAGTGTTACAGTTCTTTGTTATTCAGGATACATCTATTAAAAAGAATGATTGGGTTTTTTTATTATTTGTAATGTTAACTACACTGTAGGTTATTAAAAGTTAAACTGTTTAGAATTGTATTAAACTGTAATATTCACTCTTCTGTTTGCACAGAAGATCTATTTTTCATTTTCTTCTCCTAGTTCTGCAGTTGTCGGTGATGAGTGTGGCTGAAGAACAGTGTCCATAATTATTCTGCAATGATGCATTCACTGCTTGGCATTTCTGTATACACAGGAATCCCATCATTCATTAATCTCAGTCTCTTCCTGACCTGTGCAGTCCAGAATTGCTACCAAAAGTCTTTCTTGATAATGTTCTTAAAGTTTTCTGATGTTGTATTTCAGCTGCTGTTCTCTGAGTTCTTTGCTTCATACTCTTAACTTGAGTGAGAATGCTCTGCCACATTTCTATTTTGTGCATTTTTTAATTTTTTAATTTATTTATATAAATCAGATTTCTTTTCACCTATGGTTTTTTTGATATCTGCTTGAAACTAGCAGGCTCTCTTTTTCATTTTTTTAACCTTCTCTCTCAAACAACCAGCTACATTAACTTTCTTGTTAGTTATCCCTTATAATTTCACATAAATGTCTTCATCACCTGCACCCCTTTGGCTTCTTTTATTTTTGGCTCAGTATTCGTGTATTAACCTGTTGCCTTCCCCTCTTTAAGAAGCTGACTCGGTTAATGAAAGATGAAAGAGAAATAAGTGGACAGGTCTATCAGAAATGTACATGGGCTTTCCTAAAATATATCCTTATATGGATTTGTTTTCATGTAGTAGTCTAATGTAATATAGTCAAGTTATTCATTATCTCTAAATTTAGATTTTTTTATAAGATACACATGGCTTTATAGATCTTAGTTTCTTGGTCACAGAAAAACACTTTTATCACAAAACACAATCAGATAAGAAAGGACTTGTGGTGCTTCTGATGTTTTCTAAAACATTTATGAATTTTCCTAGTTGTTACGCACTTTAAACACAAAAGCAAGCTGAAGAATTATTTGAAGAATTATAAAGGAGCATCTTTTAGGGAATGAGATCAGTTTAAACTTGCAGGAAGTTATGGTGTGGTCATTCAGATTTCATATCTGCAGGTAACTAGGTTATTTATAGTGTAATTCCAGAACTTGATAAACTAGTGAACGTGTCTTCTTTTCTTTTGATTTTTTACAAGGCTGCACAAAGCAACCAATACTAGCACAAAAGAAGGGGTGGGATGGCAAAATTTAACCACGTATGAGCAAGAAAGCATGTTAGGGTACGATTGCTTGTTATGGTTGAGCATACTTAAAAGCTCACTGTCATCAGAAGAGGAAGGTCTTACTCATCTCCTTCCCCCCTTTTAATTTTCTACCTATTGCTCTTTGGTTGATTTTTTTTCTTCCTCTATTTCCTCACCTCCTGTCCTTCCTCCTTCAGCACTTCTGGCATTTCTTTCAGAAAAAAATTAAATTTCAAGCCACTGATCTAGAATAACTAGTGAACCCATTTAGTGACATACCAAAACAGAGAAGAAAGAGGAGGAGGACTTCTCTCTTTTGGCATTGACATGTGTTTAGGATACCTCTAGTGACAGTGTGAAAGCCCACCCTCAGTAACAAGCAATGTGCATAACCCAGGACTGTGCGGTAGCTGTAGTTCTAGCTATGTGGTAATACTGTTGGGCAAGTTATAATACTGTGATGTACTGTGGTGACCTGCAGGAGGAAGTGATAATCCATGTTCAATGACAGCCTGTTAAGAGAAGTAAATGGTTTAGCTGGAAGAAAATAAGATACTGTGAGTGTAATGGATATACTAAATACATGGTTACACTATAGCATCTTTCTGCATAGATCTTGTTTCTCTGTCATTTGAGTGTGACCATTCCTGTGAGCTATCTGAGGATCATGTCTTGTATCGTCCCTGACTGGGGAAAAGCAATCCATTGATTATATAGAAATGAGTTCTTGTTTTCAGTAGGTTGCCTTCCTGCTCTGTTCTGATGACAGAAATGTTAAGTGTTGACTTGATAGTTGTCATAATTAGGTAGTTCATATTTTACTGACAGTATGTACTCTTGGATTTTGTCCCTTCTCTAGGCTTTTTGCAGACTTGCATACACATATCTGCATTACTTCTATTTGGTGCATATTTGAAGTTGCTGAAGGTCTTTTGTTAAAGACTACCTTCCCAGAGGAACCTTAAAGCAAATACAGTGGTCCATGGTCTTTGGCAAAATTTTGGAAAAGATTGTAATACCATAATCTTTATTTCCTTATCCTATTGTAGGAGCATAAATTAACACTGTAAAAGGTTACATGTTTAAACAGTACAGTTTTGGGTGCATTGACGCTGCTAGGTACTACTAGCACGTGCAGATTTCAGCAATCACAAAGTAAAGATTTAATTTTGTAAAACCTGCAGAAGCGAAAGGATATTAGAGAGATAAACTGTGCAAGGAAAAATAAGGGTCAGGTCAGGAAGCCAGGAGGAGGCAGCAGAGATGGATGGGCCATGGTCTTGAAGTCCTACTTTCTTGAAATTATTGAGGGGGTTTTCATTAGTAATTTTATTTCCTTCAGAGGAATCAAAATTTCACCCTGCTCTCTGGTAAGTTGACTGATTAAATCTCAGCTTGTAGTCTGTGATCCTCCTCCTTGCCTTCAGTTTTTTCACACTCATTGCTGTAATGTAACCTCTCTTAAATGACTCCAAGAATTTTCCTTTTTCTAGATTGTGTTCTGATAAGCATATATTGTATTCTACTTGTAGAGAAGCGTTGCTTTGCAGTTCTAAAGCGTTCTTCACTTGTTATAAAAATAGCAGAAAAGGGCAGAGAAATAACTAGAAATCCTACTGATAATACTAGTAAGAGTAAATCCTTCTTCACATTAAATTTTCATACTCATGTAAAGCTGTTTGAAGCATCAGTGCATGTTATTTTGAAAGATACTAACTGAAGATTTAGTTATTTGAGGATGACAAAGGAATTTCATGTTAATTAACTGGAATAATTGTTAATTATAATATGTTACTACAATCAGCTTTAAAAATACTATTATATCGTAAATATAATAATAAATTCCAGTGACAGTGATACATTTTACTGATTATGAAACATTAAGGTCTTTAGATGAGCTTAAAATAAATTATATGCAAAATCATAGTTCTGTTGAAAATATTCTAATCATCTTAAAAAAATAAGGTAATTTGAAAGGAGTATTTTGATTGTGGAAACGATTACGTTTCATTGGAAAACTGAATGTTTTAAAATAAAAGTAACAAGCATTCTAAATAGCTGTCTCAAAGAGTTGCTGAATATTTAATCAAAAGTCTCTTTTCAAGACAGAATTCATTTCTATAGTGTTTTTTCCCAAAATGTAGCAACAGAACAAAGGAGAGTTTGCAAGGTATGAAGAACCTTCACCACCTTAGTGAATAAATATTTAAATATATGTATATATGTGTATGTGTGTGTGTGTATGTGTGTGTGTGTGTGTATATATATATATATATATAAAAAAATATTTAGTAGTAGTAGTATAGACTGTAATCTTTTCATAATAATAGGGACTGCATGGTTCCATAGCAAAAGGATTGTGCACAGCTGGTGTGAGTGCATGTGCATTTACCGTATTACAGATACCACTTTTATTTTTCCCCTGAAGTTGACTAGAAAATATTTAATAGCAGCATCAAGTGTTCTGGGAACGGAGTTGCCTGAGGAGAGGCAGTATAATTGATTATTTCCATTTTGTAGAGTGAGGATTTTCTGTTAGAAAACTGAGTTTGATCAGTTTTATCTTACATAAAATTACTTTATAAAATGACTTGGCATTTGAACTTGAAATTTGTTCTGCATTCAGAAAAAAGGAATTTGAACAGTCAGCCCTTCGCAATAGGTTAGCATTTTTTAACAAATCTTGCATATGTGAGGAAATTATTTCCATTTTGATTTTCCAAAGTGTATGTATTCATTCTTTTAATTGATACCTTCCATATATTATTCAGTGTGCCGTGTCATCTTGCATCAGAGTAGCTTGTTAATGTTCATTGTTCAGTGTGAATTCCAAGTGAGACATTTTGGTTGCAGAAGACATCTGATTTAAAGAAAAAAAATCTTAAAGCTTTAAGTACAGACGTCATATTGTTGAAAGCCATTTTCATGTATGATGATACATGCTGGTGTTCTACATTTTTCACTATGGTTCTGTTTTCAAACCTCTGTGAGACTCAGCTAGTTGTGAAATTTACTGCCTCAGCCTGTGACACTTTATTCTAGAACATTGGTAAAGTATGTGCAATTTCCTCTAACTGAGTAGAAAGCAGAAAATCAGAAAGATCTCTTTAGCTAAGAGAAAAGAGAATGTACTTACTGTCCTTTTGTCATTGCATCAATGGCAATTTTAATTTTGAAGGCATGTCTCCCTATTGTAAAGAGAGAATGCGTCTTTCATGACAAGGTAAAAGTAACAGTAAGGAGCAATCTTTGAAATGCTTTCTTTGCATTTAAAAGGAATCTTTCATAAAGATCTTTTTGTAAACTGTTCTGCAAATTTGTTTTATAAACAAGGTAAACCTATAATGAAAAACATTATCTGATCCATTTGTGCCTGATATATAGCAATTGTACCAAAAGACTGTGTTTTAATAGTGCTCATGTAAAAAGTCAAGCATTCAGAAGTTAGAAAATGCCTGAATTTAGAAAATGCTGGAAAATATTGCAGCCTCTGGCAGCACCAAGTTTCTCTAAATATCAATGCAAAACTTTCAAGGTGACGTTTCAGCAACAGCAAAAGTATACTTTTAGTGTAATCTTTTGTCCCAATTTTAAGTCCTTGTGCTAAAGTCGGGAAACACTGGAGATTAGCAGCAAAGCTTTTATAAGAAATCACATAGCATGGGCATCCTGATGTATTTTTGCAAAATTTACTCAGTAGGTATACCTAGCAACCTGGAGGCGTACACATAAGTGCCATATTATCTGTCCATAGTAGGAGCAGCTAAAGGAAACCTGCTTACAGAAAGAAGCAGAAATTTTCTAAGGAACACTGATATGTCTTATCATGCTTCATTTCATGTTCTGCAAAACAGTGCTGCCACTTCACAGTTTTATTATTGAAACAATGATATTTGGTGGAGGATCTTTGCCTATCTTTTCTATTTTAGATTTTCAGAGTGATGAAATTACATGGAAATGCCAAACTACTTTCTTTAAAATGTCTTTCCGATTCTTATCATTTCAGGACAGGGCAGTGGTAACTTTAGGGAAGTTATAAAATGTACCTCAGTAATGTCTTAAATATTCAAAACCCAGCAGTAAGTAGAATGAATATTTATGTTCTGTATAAAGCAGAATGTCATCAGCTTTAGGGACTGCTTCTCCAGTTTAATTGTTGTTAGATAAGGGATATTTATTTAGTCTTGTCTTTCAAAGGTTTGAGGTCTGCCAAAAATACCAGGCAATGACAGGGCTTTCAGCTGCATCTGACTTCCTTCTTCTTCATTGAAATGGTTTCTAGTTTCAGAATACATCTACTTGCCTCTGTGCTACTCTATAACTCGTAGCTTATTAGTTACGTAGTGAGTTTAAATGAAAGAAAAAAGGGAAAAAAAAGAGCCAATATTATCATTGCAGAATAACACTAATTTTTTGTTTCTTCTAGATAAAGATCTTGACAAGCTCTTATCACTCTTAAAAAGTCCAGAGAAGCAAACTGGGTGGACAGAAATTTGCAGTAAACACTTCTGCAAAGTCATGAAAGCCAGACCAGATATCATCAGTGGAACAAGTGAGTATGACTTACTGAGGTAAACCAAGCAAGCAAACAGAAGGCCAACTAGTAAGCAACCGTTCTTCAAGCTTTCATTAAGAATTACATTGTCTATACAAGTAGTCAATAATTTTGTGTTGATTATGCAAACTATTTCAACAGGATTTTCCTGAGAAAATAAAGCCTATACCTCATGTCCTTTTCCTTTTCTCTTTATGGCCATCATCCCTCTCTGTTGGCTGTTTTCAAGGAAATTTGACACAGAAAGAGGGCTCAAATATAAATCTTTCTTTTAGATCTCTAGAGTCTGTTACTGAGATGCTGAGAAAATGGAAAAGAGAGCCTGAGAGAAAACAAACATTTCCCAGAGATCAGTGAATTACTTTTAGGCAAGTTGGGAAATTAATGGCCAATTTCAGTAAAAATTTTCAGAATTAAGCCATACTGAACATCGAAGAGCCCACTCATTCACGTTTTTCTTCTTTGTCATATAGATTTTCTAGTGAGGAGTGTGCTCATGCAGGAGCATTGGTATAGATCAGTTAAAACAAAAAACCAGCCAAAACAAAACCAGCAATCTCCCATATGACATAAATAATCAGAAATCAGACATAATAATTCACTTAAAATATAATATGAACTTTTGTAGCAACAAAGAAGCTATGTGTTTCAGAAATTTCTGGCTTTCATTACTGTAAGAATTCTGATTATGATGACACGGTCAGTACATAGTCTTAACTTCTTGTTTACAGATGCCAAAAGTTTCCCTTCAGATTATTTAGGTAAGCAGTTAATACAACTGACAGTGAAGACAGATGAAATACCTTCTATATGGGATCAAAGTAACCCAGAATGTGTGATTTATGTAAGAGCCCTGAATTTTATGATAAATTATATAGTAATGTAAAAGTTATAGGGTGGTTTCAGAAGCATTAAGGAAGTAATTTATACAGGAACTGGTTTAATATTAAAATAGTTAATAAGAAATTTGTCATTTGTATAATGTGGTTAAAGTCAATAATTATTGAATGTTTCTAATTTCTCAGAGCTTTCTGTTCTTTTTGCTTTTCTGAAACAAGCTTGAGTCTATAGTCTTAGGTGTTTGTAAATTAGAGCTTTCACCTTCCATTTTGAAGAATTAATGTAGGCAGAATATGTGTGTATTTATATATAATGCATATATCCGCTTATAATGTACCTTATATTGTACATGCTTTTATTCAGACAGCTCTCTGTGAACAGAAATTCATAACCATTCAGAAAGAGCTGGATGTATTTTGAGTTTCTGTTAGTATAAGAAAAAGAAATTGAAGAGTAGCAACTAAAAAAACCCCAGATTTTTCTAGCAAAATGGTATCTTTACTTTTCTTGCATGACTCTGATCTAGTAGTTCAGTGAAGTGTTTTTTAATGTTATATATTGTGAAGCACAAATTACTCGGTCTTTGTAAAATCAATTTTATTTGAATGCCGCATATTTTCTTGGATTAGAGTAAAGTTTTGTTGAAAATTGTTAGTCTGTCTTCCTGCATCTAAAAGGAATGATTTTTTTGAAAAATCAAAAATTTACAAGAAACAGAATTAACATTTAAAGTACATGGCTTACAAAGAAAAAGTCTTTTGTGCTTTGTAGTTATCCGTACACAGCCTCAAAAGCTGTGTAGGTTGTTTTCTGTAACTTTGTTGGAGGTGCCAGAAGATAGAATGAGGAATTAGAGTCATTAAGATTTGTTAACCCAAAGTAAAAAAATATCCTTGCTTCTGAATAATTGTTTCCAGCCGAGATGGAACTGGGAGTAGAAGTCAGCAAGAAAGTATCCATGGAGCTGTTGTTATGCCTCACAAGGACTTCTGCAAGTGCTTTTACAAACTGCAAAAAAAAAAATAATGAAAATAGAAACAGAATAGCATGATGAAATACTAACTAAATAAAAACACCCTACAAAAGAATAATAATATTATAAACTAAGTGTAATTACTAGTAATTTAAGGTGGATGCATAGCTGTTCAAATGATGCATATCTGCTTGGTGATATTTCAGAAGTAGCATAATGTCTGCATAGCTGTGTGGTTTGAGACAGCATCACGTTCACTGAAACTATTTTATGAGGCAGCTATGCTGCTGTGTACCTTTTGCAGCATGTGAAGCTCTCCCATATTTCAGAGAACTGAGTAATTTCAGTCTTGATCCCAAGAAATTAACTTTCTCTTTAGTTTCAGATGGACCAAACTCACAAGGATTACAGAAGAAAGATGCATACTTATGCTTCCTGTACTGGCCCCTTCCTAAGGGAGACTAATATTAACAGCAGTTGAATCAGAACATAATCAGCAAAGACAACATTGGATTCAATGACTGTATAGTGTAGCATGTGTTGATTTTTGAAATATTTTGTGGTCTGGTGTCAGGATTACCAGGTGCTGAATCTGTAGAACCTGCTTGAACTCCATCAGAAAATTCTTGAGCAAACTGTATGGTATCAATATCTGTAATTCATTCTTCTCGTGTCGATTACCAACACATTGATTTGGTCATCAATGGTATCGCATTACTTTTGGGAATGTCCATCTTCATCCCTAGATTGGTGTTTTCTCTGCTAAAGCATCACCTCTGACTGTAGCATTTAATAATTTCTGTGGTCATACACAAAAGATCCAGTTTTGGATGGCTTTACTGAACCACTAAAAGGAGATACCAACCATTCTCAGGCTTGTTTGTCTTTTAGTGTGGCAGGACTGAAAGTGTGGGATTTTTCTTGGTCATCTAAAAGCAAAGCATATTGTAGACAACCAGCTTCTATATTTTATTCTTCTAAGCACAGTAAGCTAAGACAGATGTTCTTCTAGTAATTCCTTCTACAAAGGTGCCACAGGATTGTGGATGCTAGAGGTATAGCTGCTTGTTACTGTCTTTGCATGTGTCTGAGTAAATCAGCTAGGGATCCATGGACTAAGCCCTTCTTCAGGTTGTTTTGACCTTTTTTGGACTACTCTTTGCAATGCTTGTGGCCTCCTTGAAGCATCTTTAGTACATCTAGATAAGAGTTGTCTGTGTATTGGCATCTAGGCTCTGGCAGGAAATGAAACAGGCAAATTAACTTTCTGAGAAATAGCTTAGATTTATGTAGAAAATTATTTGGCTTTGTGAATCTAGGCTTAGTATATTGCATGTTCAAAACACTCACATGATTGGGATGTATTTTTTTGAACCAGTGATCTTCACTGTTTCATCCATGCCTTTTTCAGTTGTCTCCCCCTTCTCGTCCTTCAGGTTTTGCAGAAGGCATTTGTGTTGCTTTCAGACCCAGCAACTCCTTTCTTGTCTGTTCCTAGTTAGTGTTCTGTTAGTAGCTGATCTCTTTGGTGTCTGGGTAGATTCTACTCCTTTAGTCTTCTCCTCTCGTAGGGGACTTTAGGTAACAGAAATTGAAGGTGTTCCAGAGTTCATACAATTATATGCTAACTTTCTTCCTACATAACTGAGAGGTAATCAGTCCCCAAATCTTATTTGTTCTCCTTAATCTTTATATCCATGTGTGGTTATGGATAGGGATAGTAAACTCAGCTAAAGTAACTTGCTTCATGGGGTCATTCAGAGTTTCCACGGAATAACTCCCTCAGGAATCTGGGATTAGATTACCAATATTCTTTAGGGCCTATTAATTTACCTCCAAAATGTTCTCTCTTAAACAATCAAGCAAATACATGTGGGAAGCATATTTCTTTTTTAAAGTAATTTTCATTTTCAGGCAGTTATTCTATTAGGCCCGACAACTGTTGATGACTTCAGAGACACAAAAAATATAGCAGCTTTTGAAATTGCCTATGAGATCCTACTGGAAAACACAGGATTTTTCTTCATTTTTCACAAGTGAATGGTTGACGAAAGCAGAGTGCTTATGATCAACACAGTGTTCTGCAATCCATTAATGCTTTATGGGCTCTGCATCATCTGAGGTAGCTCTGTCAATGCATGCTGACAAAAAATACTATGATCGTTTGAGGCGATGTCATTGTTTGTGCCATTTGGGTGCTACTGCTTTTAGCAATTGCTGCAAAAAGTTGAAAGTAAATGCAAAACTTTCCTCATAGGATAAAGAACCAAAAAGATGGATATTTTCATACGTATGACTGTTGTGTATGGTTGCGTTTTGTTTGGTGGTTTTTTTTTTAAAATTCAGGATAACAAAATGCTAAACTTTGGCAGTTTAGCAAAACAGCATAATCAGATGTTGTAAATGTATATACCTTATATCAAGGCATACTTTATAGCTACCAGAATCTCATCAAAGAGGGTATCTCAGTTGTCACCACTTTGCCTATATATAGAAGTAGAGGTTATAGTTTGATGGAAAGGATCTTCTGGATTCAAAGACAATGAAATACTACATTTTTAGAGTTGTTACTAGCAAGCTGTTCTTTGTCTTAAAGAGATAATTATTTGAGTTTTCATTAGGTCCAGCTAAAGAAGGTTCCACTAACTTTAGTCTTGCATAGTAGTGTTCACACTTGTTAAGCTTGTCAGAGAGAATTCTCTAGGCTGTGATTTTCGAAAGACAAATTAGAGTAACTGCATTAGATTTTCAATCTGAATTGATCCTCAGAGGAGCCTATTCTTCTCTGTAAGAACATAGATTCTCTAAGCTCAACGTGGTCTTTTTAAATATGGACCAAATCTTTTGTCTTGAAGATCTCTCAGTTAGATCTAGATTCTGCCTGTGGTCTGCTGTTGTTTTTTAGTATGACCAGTTAATAAACCCTGTATAGGCTTTTAGCAAATAGGTTTTTAGAATAATACAAAAAAGATGTTTACTTTTTTAAGTCCTTACTTGATTTTTCAAGGCGGCTTGTTTCAGAAACAGAGTGGAACAGTGGGTCTTTCATGTTATGCAGGAAGAATAACTGCAGATCAAAACTTCTTTGTGTCCCCCAAACCAGTTTGGAGTAACTTCCAAAGGAATAGCCTGTAAGCAGTGTAAGTGCATGTGTGTGAAGAGTACAACATTTGATTAGGATTTGCAAGGCTGTTTTTTTTTCATTAATAAAGAAGATACTTGTATATTGGTATAAGATATGCAACCTTCATCTCTAATGGAAGCACGGTCAGAATTTTTATTATCTTGTTTTCTTCTTTTCAAAGAAGATGCAGGTTGTTCCTTTGCCATTTCCATGTACAATAATTGAAAGTCTCTCTTATTATCTTAGAAATTCAAAAAAGTCCTCCTTATTGTTGCCACTAAGAAGAGAAATTCCAACAGTGTTTTTCATAGATTTATAAACCCAGAATATGGTTGATGGAGTTGAAAATTTCTGACAGTATTGCTACAAAGAAGTCAGCTGTCCATGTTTTTTACTCTTGAATTTTTAACCTCTAACACAAGTCAAGCAGGACTGCTGTTAATTCTCTGAAGAAAGTTCTTCTTCTAAAACTCTCTCAAGTATCTGTGAGTTGGTATAGAATATGATCCAGCAACACTAGTTATATTAAAATGTCTGTAAAAATCTGGTGCTTTCTGCAGTTTTTGACCTTTGGCTTAAATCTTCCAGAGTAGGAATTAAATAACTTCTCATGGCAGTTACATATTAAAACAGTTTTACTCACATGAATTTTTTAAATAAGTGTTCTTATGCAGTTTAGAAGCCATTTCGATTACCATCCTTTTGTACGTTAGTTCTTCAAGGAAGAAAACCCATCCTGCAGGAATTCAGCTGTTTTCTGAGCATACTGCAATCGTTTAGGGAATTTAAAACCCCTTTCATTTGTTTTGTATAAGATTACACGCTCCTAAATTAAAATTCTCTTTATTTTGGACGTGTGAATTTAATTTGCATGAGGTAATTGCCAGTCTCTTAAAAACTTCTATGTTAATACAGCCAAGCTGCCATAATTTAAGAAAATCAACATTTTCACTGAGTTGGTAGGCCACAACACTATCTCTGAACATAACCTCTGCATAAGAATGTGGGCTTTTACAAAAGTACTGACTGTACAATGAACTTCCCTAAAACTTTTGTTTGCTCTTCCAGTTAAATGAAAAATCACTGAGTCAAGTTTCCACCTTTATAAAGATTTTTGAGGAGTGTCCAAATGGCGGCTAAATAATGTAGTATTAAAAATTAAAATAGCTACTTTACGTTTCACATATCACATTTCTTTTCAAAGAAACAATGTCCTGTGAGATCCCTCCATTTGGTTATTAACCAAATTTGTTTTGCTAAACTCTTAAGTGTGTCTTCCTCTCTCAAACTTGATTAAAAGCTTTTCAATGATCCTGATAGGCACTTAGATAAATACTTTCAAATGGTGGAAGTAAATTTAGTGCTTGAGTTTCAAAAAATTGCTTAGCCGTTGAGCTGTCACTTCTCCCATTACCTCAAGCACTGAACTGAAATACTCGACTGCTAGGTCAAGCGTGTGGCTTCCTTCCAACATAGAGAGAAAAAATGTACAGCATTCTGACTTGGCTTGGAACTTTCTGAATTAAGTGGTATTTTAGTCTTTTTTGCATAGTTCCTGTTTGCTGTTATAGTATGGCATATTTCAGTAATCACAATACTAATAGTCATACAGTAAACATCTAGCTAGCTACAAGTTTGAAGTTTAATTTCTGCTTTTTGCTATCTAAAGTTCCAGTTATAGACACATTTTCTCATTTCACACAAATATTTGTTATATTGTTTGTGGACAAAATTCCACTAAGTGTATTAGTGAAGATTAGTGAGATTGTTTATTCTCTTTATTCTCACAAAATGAATAAACTGCTTCCCTTCTCTAAAATAAATGGCTTTTTGCTAGCTTCATGTGGTTTATTAACCATGATTAAAAATAGCTATATTATGTTTAATTAGCAGTTTCTCCTCTCCATAAAAATGCATAAGAATATAAATTACACATGTAATGTTTTTGTTTTGATTTAGTAGTTCTTTGCAATACAAAATTAATTTTGTTACTGTTGGAGATGGCTACCCTAACTGTAAATCTGTGTTTAGCTGTTGTAGTGAAACTTCTCTTCCCTTTTTCCCTTCCCACCAAAACTCAACCTCTTTAAAACTTCTTCTAGACTAACTCAGTATAAATAGATTTCTGTAAATGTTTTAGACAACTAATCAAGAAAAGAAATAATGATTTAAGGTTGGTGTGTTAGCTTAAAATGGTTGGGAAAAGAGTTATTTGTCTTTATGATCTCCTTTGGTGCCAGTTTTCCTGTCAGCAAAGGCTAGTTAAGAACTTCCTAGCTTTCTCCATTGCCACCTTTAGCACAGGTTGTTATGCCTTACGTGTGCTGCTACAGCTGTTTGTACAGTTAGACACTAAAAGGGCTGAGTGGAATTATTCAGTCTAAAACCAGCAAAGCCACCTGTGGGTGCGTGATGTGCAGGAATGGGTGACCTGGGACTGAAGCTTCAGTGCTGTTAAACTGAGGTGCTGCCAAGGAAGTGGTAACATGCAGAATTAAAAGCAGAAACCCCATGGGTAGAAGCACTCACTACTCTCTAAATACACTTCCTTGATTTGCATTATTGTGAAAAGGTTATGTTACTGTTCTTTAGATCCTATTTTATCATGACAACAGCAGCTGATTTTGGATAGTATATACTTATAAAAATGTTCATTGTTGCTATCGTAAATTCTTAACATGGTTCATCTCGATATGGGCTTCCTCCATGCAGCATGTGTAAAGGCTTCCTTGTATCCTTTGCTTGAATCTGTAAGGTAGCAGTGTGCTTAGTTGCAGTAGACCCAGACTTTCAGAACTGAGGAATCAGGAACAGTTTCTGGTAATGATTTGTCACTGAGAGTTCTCACTAACTTTCTGGCTAACATCCTGGTAAGGTGGGAGGTATGATTTCCTACATAGTGACCAGGTGTCAGCATCTGACTTATTTATCTATGCAATATCTGCAGACTCGAAAGTTCCATGACAAGAACTGAGTAAGAACATTATGGTCAGCATAAAACACAGAATTTCCGAAAGCAAATGCTCCTATTGCTTAATTTTAAGTGAATAATTTCTATCTTCTGATGGCATAGGTGGTTTTATGTTGTGTTTTTTTTGAAACAGGCCTTAAAACTTTTGTTAGAATCACTTTGGGATGATGTGGGTTTTTGCTGTGTGTGGGTTGTTGGGGCTTTTTCCATATTTTCTTTTTTTTCCTGTCTACATATACAGAAATATGGTAAGATATTGTAATTCAATTATAGTTAATTTTCATTTCATATTGTAACCGTGTAACAAATTCTGAAGTAATCCTTGGAGGATACAAAGATATTATGGGATTCTCTTTCTGTTTACACTGAATATATTCTCAGTAAAGCTATTAAATTTTAATTTTAAGTTAGGAATGTTGTTAGGAATCCAAAAGTGCAATGCATGCCTTGAAATGCTCCCGCATAAAAACATGAATAAACATGCAGCAATTCATATAGCTTTAGTTTCTCACATAATGTCATTTGTTAGGTAATGTAGTTCCACATTTTGTTCACTGGCTTTAATGTTTTAAGGGGTTTTTACTTTTTGCAGTTTTGGCAGAGTTAATTGAAAAGTTCGTGTCACATCTTTCTGAAAACCGATCGGATTGTTATTTCAGCACAGGAAACTATAAAGGTCAGTTTCTTAATAATTTATTGCCATGTAGCCTCTTCACATTTGAATTACTTTCCTTTTAAATGTATCTGTAGCATTGTGGGGGTTGTTTAACATGTTCTTTAACAATTCAGATATTCATTGCTTAACTGGTGGGAAATACCTCACTTCAGAGCAAAAGATGATCTGCTTGAGTAAAGAGTACAGATAACTATTAGTCATGGGCTTTCACATTTCTGTATGAATCACAGAATATTAGGAGTTGGAAGGGACCTTGAAAGATCATTTAGTCCAACACCCCTGCCAGAGCAGGATCACCTAGACTAGGTCACAAAGGAACGTGTCCAGGCGGGTTTTGAATGTCTCCAGAGAAGGAGACTCCACAACCTCTCTGGGCAGCCTGTTCAGTGTTCTGTAACACAGTAAAAAAAGTTTTTCCTTATGTTCAGGTTGAACCTCCTATGCTCCAGCTTGCTCCCATTTCCACTTGTCCTATCATTTGACATCAGAGAGAAGAGCCTGGCTCCTTCCTCCTGTCACTCGCCCTTTACAAATTTATAAACTTTAATGAGGTCACCCCTCAGTCTCCTCTTCTCCAAGCTAAAGAGACCCAGCTCCCTCAGCTGCTTCTCATAAGGGAGATGCTCCACTCCCTCAATCATCTTTGTGGCTGAGTAATGGAAAGATGGAAATGCAGAACAGGTGAGGGTATGAGTCAAAGTATTTGTTGACAGCTATTAAAGAATGATTTACAAAACTGGTGGCATAAACATTTAAGATGGTGTAAGCATCAGCTTACCTTTCAAAAGCCCCATAATATATAATAAACCCAATGGTATGCAATTGATATTTCATTAAAGGATGTGTATTAAAAAACTGCTATTGTTGGCAGAGCAATGAGTGTTAGTTTTGTACAGATGTCGTGCTGAGAGCCAAGAATAAAGGATGAACGATAAAGTTAATTTATTCTGAGTATAAAGTAATACATTTTAATATTTTAAAGCACTTGCAATATTAGAATATTTAGAAGCATTGTTAATATCTGCCAGAAAATGCATTTTCATTCTTTACTATCTGTCCAGGACTGTTCTTTTAGGTTGTAGTTCATTCATTTAGACTACTTACTCTGCCACTAACTCTGGAGAACCAAGCCTGCTTTCGGGAGAGTCTGTTATTTATACTGCTGTTTTATTGTTGCATCCATAGGATGCAAATACGGTGTCCTTGGAGACTTCAGCTTTGCCTTTGAAGTTTCAAAGCATAAAACCCTCTTTCTTTTATGTAGTGGCCTTTACCTTCTGAAAGCTTGCTAGCGGAATATTCTTAATTTTATTTGAGAATGTCTCTCTCTGCTTAATGAAGAGACTTGCTGAAGTGACAGTTCTTTCTGTCACTATTTTATTTTACCTTAAAATATCCCTAAAGGGCTTTGTGTTGTCCTGCGTTAGTTTGTCATTTATTTTTCAACTTCTCAGGAGGCGTAACGGGCAGCAAAAATATTTTCATGGACTCATAAGACTTGCTCTTTACATATTTCTGACGCTTTCCAATTCAATTTATGATTTAGATGATTCCTTTAAAAGCCCACATAATGTATTCATGAGATAAATAATTTATTTGACGCCTAGACTGCCCCTCTTGCTCCTCTCTGTACATCTCTGTTTAGGTCATAGTTCGAAGTATCACGTATTCTCCAATGATATGGACAGCCCAGGTGTAATTTCTTTGTCTATTTGAGGGAACATCTATCTCACATTTCTTTGGAGAACAGTATAGCCCACAGACCTAACTGTTAGAAAAACAGGAAAGCCAGCTTGCTTTGAATAAGGCAGAAACTAACTAGAGGAGGAGCAGACATCTCATGGTGCAACTTTCAAGTGGATTCCTTGCCCAGCAAAGGCAGCGTCCTGCTGTTTGTTAAGGATAATGGCTGAGTGCTTCCATCCAGTGTGGGAGGACTCTAATGAAGGGAAGCTGTAGTCCATTCTCTGTTCACTTAGATGTCGAGCACCTTAGTTTCAATCCAGTCATGTCAACCTTATGTTCAAAGCTATAATTTAAAACACTTTCAGGAAGGTTGAACCTGGATATTCTGCTTCATTGATGTGTGATTTCACCATACGTCATTGATAAGGTGGAGGTAGCAACAATACTATGTTATTTGTCTAAAATGTAATGCCAACTTTGAAGAAACACCAGGTATATCCATATCCTCTGGCAATTGCATACATTAAATCTATTTTTTAGAACAGAAAATCCCAAATAGGTACAGAAACAAAGATAACATAGTGAAAGCTTCAATTCTTGATTTTCTTGAGCTTGATAGATTTTTTTAATTTCCATAATAAACCAGCTCAGGCTGTGACATTCCTTTTTTTGCATTTTCTGAATATTTTTTTCATTCAGTCTTATACAGACACTATTGGACATAAATTTTGCCTGTTCATTTCTGAAATAAAAGTTCCAAAACTTAAAGAATTGGCTGACGAACAATTTTCATTTGCAAATGCTTTTGTTATTCCATGTGCTTTAATGAAGACAAAACTTGGATTTCAGAAAGAGAGAAGCCTTCTCAAGGACAGTCAGTAGTCTGGTGTTAAGAAACTGGTGTGCAATGTAGGCAAAGGGTCGGCGTTGTCTTAATGCTTTCTTTCCTTGTCAGCAACACTATTATCACACACGCTTTTTGTGAAGAGTTCTCCAGTCCAGGAAAGGGTGTTGCTTAGACAGTGTATTTTTCTCAAGGGTTTATTTTAAGTTTTATAGGAAAATAGTTACTAAAATTTCATAGCACCTTTTTTAGATAGGTTGTCCAGGGAAACTTGTTTAGACCAATAAATTCATGCTGATTGACATGAAACAAAAATCTAGCTCTAAAATTGAATCTATGAGCTTACTCCACTCTGGAACAGTAAAAGGGCTTAACTGTAAGAATCAGGCTTTCAGCTAAATTTACACTCATTAAAGGTTCTTATTTACATCATAAACCAGTGTGACATTCCTATGAAGATAGGGAATGCTCCTTGAGAACCTAAGCCTGTATTTTGCTTCCTATGTTTGTAGAGAAGGGACAAAAAAAGCACACTCAAATCTTTATCAGATCTTACTTACTTAAAATTAGGTTTCAAACTGATTGAATAGTGATTGATCAGATTTGTATACATTTCCCAGGATTTTCTGCTAATCTGTATGAAGGGTTGGAATTTCTCCAAGGGGAACAGTTAATTATTGAATGCCATGTTATTTCACAGTATCTTTTCCATATTCTTATGTGTAACAGCGATCAAAGCTAAATCCTAAAACCGCTGTTACAGTGGAGACATTTTTCTGAATTAGGTAAAGCTAATGAGTTGTTAGAAGGTAAACTATTCCAGGTGCATCTTTCTAGCTGTGCATCTAAGTAAGCCAAACATGCACTTGGTGATTGCATGTGTCCACCATTCTCTTGAATAAATTTGAGTCTGAGGAACTGAAAAGCAGTTTCTAATAGTTGATTAATTTTCATGAGGAGAAGCCACAATTTTCATGAAAGTGGATTCAGTACAATGCATAGATATTCAGTGTTTATCATGTTTCTTGAAATGAGAAATTGATTATCTTAAAAAATGACAGCATTCTAAACCCGTAGGTAGCTGTAATTAGAATAACACAGTCATCCATCTGCTGTGGAATCCCTCAGGATTTCAGTCTATTATAAAATTTGAAATATGGAAAAATCAAATTAGTTTGGGTTGTTATCATTTTCAAGATAAGAGAAGGAAAAATATCTGATAAACCACTATGCAGTTACAGTGTTTAATTATAAACAGTAACACAAATCTTACTTGAAGTTTACTTCAGACTGTGGGCTGTGATACAGCTATTCCTAATTACACCCTGGCTGGACTGGGAGACCATCTCCTGCATTGCCATCTGCAGGAGGAGCCACCTCAAAATGGAGACAGGGCTTCCTTGTGGCTTAGAGGTTGTTATGCTGATTGCTTCTCCTCTGCCATTAAATATGGCTTTGCTGGGCCTGAATTGAATTAGCCATTAGTCATTTCAAGTAAGAAACAGTTCTGCAAAACTGGTATTCATGCATGAAGGAAGCTTTACATTAGTATTCAGTTAATATAATATAAAACATTATGCTTTATTATATTTTTCCTTTGTTTCAGCCACGGATGCAGATGTGAAGAATGAAAGCCTTTCATCTGTGCAGCAGCTTGGTGTTGAAATGACAGTCAGGTACACGGTATTAAAATATTTCCCTAGTGTATTTCTAGAATTTGTTTGATTTTCATGGAATAACTTTAATGATATTTAATCCATCAACTTAGTGCTTGATACCATTTAAATCTAAAGATCACCTTTAAGAAAATGAATTCTAACTGTGCAAATGAATAAGGTATTGGTATGTAATTAAATTATCTTTACAGATTATATAGGTTATTATCCTTTATTGTTTTAAAGGCTAATTGTAACTTGTTAGTAATATTTACTGTAAAATTACATTATCCTGAGTTATGTGTCTTTTTTCCCTCACATTACTTCTCTAAATGGCTGTTTAGCTAAGCTTAGTTATGTGCCATTTACACATTTTATTTGACTGGTAATTTACAGAGCATTGATGAAGGAAAAGCTAATGTGTCTGCACTTCCAGAGATTGTTATCTTTAGCATTAATATTTGAATTCTGATGCTAATAATTACACATACAACATACTTGGATAGAATTCTAAATAATCTGCGTGAAGAAAATGAGTCATGTGTGTTAAGAATTTTTCCCCAGCACAGTCTCTGAACTAAAACGAATTTAAGTGAGGAATTGTAACGCTAAGTAGCAAATGTTTGGTGTGTATCCTTCTTAGATAAAGCTTAATAGGTTTTATTAAACCATTTATGTGTATATCTGCAACATAGTGTTTGTGATGAACAACGCTATGACAGCTTAACTTTCACAGGCCTATTAAATACGAGTTCCTGCTTTTTAGGAATTTAAAAAAATATTTAACCTTTAAACAGTTGTTTTTTAACTTCTTGTGCTAGATATGGAAAATATCTAAACCTGCTAAAAGAAGATGCTGAAAATGGATTGTGCTTCGTGTTAGCAAATATTGAGAAATTTCTGAAACAACAGCAAAGTATTCTGGTATCCCCACTTTGTATCCTTTCTTTATGACATAAAATATATTGCCTAAAAATGGTAGTGGAATTGGAACTCTCAGTTTGGGCTTTTGATGGTGGTGTAGATGTGTAATATGTACTGAAAGAAAACAAACAAACAAACAGAAAAAAAAACAACAAAAACAACCAGCACTTTTACTTTGAACTTTTCTTAAGTTAAAATGTACACCCAATGCCCTCAAGAAAATCTTCACCCTTTTGTTCTCATACTTTGTTAAAATTGTAAGTCTCACTCCTTTTCGTCATTAACTGTTTTGGAGTAGGATCACATCTTTCTGTATGTGACAGAGTGTCTGCAGCAATGCACCTTTGAGCATTAATGAGTATTTGTAGTACACCCACAATACCAACAGTGTTAATGGTGTTGCCCATGTAATGGTGTGTGGCTGGAACTTGGTCAATGGGAATATTTGCTGACCCTTTTAAATCTACTATGTAACTTTTTTTTTTTTATAAAATAGGTAACCCTTTCCAACAATCTTTTCTATAGTCTCAGGTATTAGCCTTATATATCACTATTAAAATACACTTCAGGTATATTAGTCAGAATATACACATGGACTAGGAAAAAATTACTGTATAGGGAAAATAGTTTACATGATTTCTTTTAACTCAGTTCCAGAGGCAGCTGTGCCCCAAGAAGCTGCCTTCTGTGCAACTCCATTCACCTTGTCCCATGTCTAACATCCAACATATCTAACTTGCCTCTGCATGCATGGACCTGGGGAGGAGGGCAGGAGTGGGGAGATCTGTGCCCGAGTTCCTTAACCTACTCCCACAGGCTGCTTGCAAGAGCGCTATGCTGGCTACGACTGGTTTGCGTCTTCTGTCTTCCTCATAATGTCAGGGGACAGGGAGAAGACACTGATGTTTCTTCAGCGATTTTCACGTCTTCTTGTTTCAGCATTTCTCTGGATACCAAGGCTGCATATATCTGTAAGAATTTAAAAGTTATTACTTTCTGAAAGGCAACTTTGAAGACTTCTATAGGAGTCTTTTTCACTTCCTTCACTTTTGGGTGGGCTTTTTTACTGCATTAAGTTTACATTAAAGCCCTCTAACTCAACGCTTGACCTCGAAAAATATAGATTTGACATCTGCTCAAATAGTTGTTTAAAAATAAGGAAATAACAGGTGGACTGATAGTAAAGGCAATGTTATTAAATTTTAAAGCTGGCAGTAAAACAAACTTCATTAGTGGCATTAAATTCTGTGTGAAGGCTGTGGGTTTTTTTTTCATTATTACAGTGTACAAGTCCATCCTTTTGATTTTTTTTTTTTTTTAGTAAAAGTATCAGTTTTAAAATTTACTAAATATGTAAATACTGAATGCTTGGCAGTTTTAAATGATTAGTATTTTGGATCATGTTTGTAGTATAAGAAACATAATTTACTGTGTGACCTAGTCTAGGTGATCCTGCTCTGGCAGGGGGGTTGGACTGGATGATCTTTCGAGGTCCTTTCCAACTCCTAATATTCTGTGATTAATTTTCACCTCTATTAGATATGATTTCATCTATTTAAAATAAAACCCTCTCAGATTGACATTGTACATTGTCACATTGTCTTGAATGTTTTGAATGTAAACAACTGTAGTCTTTACTAGAGAACTCTGAGGCGTAAGAAGCACGGATTAGATCCCATACCTCTTCTACATGCAAGCCTCTGTATTAATATGAACTGGTCTCTCTTTTCACCAGAAATGACCGTGTTGGTCCACCCATAGCAGTGAACCTGGCCCTGAGGTTGCTCCAGCACAATGAAATATTGCTCCACTGTGTGAACATAGTTGTGCTGAACACAGTCAGTGCTGAGAACTTCCATGTTATCTTCCATACAAGAACTAGTCAGCATTGCAGGCAGGTTGCTGCAGTGCTAATGTACATTCTCAATACACAAATGATTTCTCTTTTATAATCTATCTTAAAAACACAAAGAGAAAACTCAATTGTACTATTTATATAACTTCCACAACATAAACTAAAATTAAATTCATGTCAAAACATGTACGAGGACTTATTCAGCCATTAGATTATGGTGCTGCCTACCTCAGGAAGGAGGAAAATGGCAAAGGATGTACTTTGAGCTTTTAGCACAAAAACCGAGGACTCATTACCTAGAACCCAAGCACTGATATGCAGAGCTTTCTATGCTGATGAATCCTCTGTTTCTTTTGCTGCACAAAATAGTTTCACTCATTCCAGCCACGTATGCTGCAAAGAAACTTGCATGCAGCAAACAACTTAAAATACCATAGAAGTTCCACTCTGTCCACCAGTTAAAGGGGGGGGGGGAATCCAACAGAAATTAGTATTTTTTTTTCTTCTGTTCTTTTGTTTAAAATAATAATTGTTTCTCCATCCTTACTTTGACTATTAAAGCCTACATGCAATAGAGAACTAGATTGCTAATGCGAAGGAATAGTCAGGAGATATTTAATAGTTTCTAACTTTTAATTTTCTTTAGTTAGGTACATGTTTTTCCTGATGCTTTTCCATCAGCTTTTTTGTTTATTCTATTCCTGTCTCTAAAATAACTGAGATTACTTATTTTACTGGTAAATGTGTACCTTTTTATATATTGTTCTCAGCAAAGTATTTTAAAATAACACGTTTTTGTAGGCTGTAATTATTTTCCTCAGTGTTGTTGTTGTTGTTGTTGATGATGTTATTGTTAATCAGATGCACCTGCCTATTACCACAGTGGAGTCTGGCATCCATCCAGTCTATTTTTGCAGTGCTCACCACATTGAAATGCTGCTGAAAGCTGAGTTGCCACTTGTCTTTTCAGCCTTCCACATGTCTGGTTTCACTCCATCCCAGGTAATTGATGAAAACGTATCAAAGTATCATCAACTTTTTGACTTAAATCCACAAAATCAGGGATATTCAGGAACTACTGTGGTTTTTTTCTATACAACACTTGTGTGGTTGTTAGGAAACTGGGGGCGAGGGGTAGTATTGAGTGCATAGTGACTTAGAGCATCTGAAAATAGAAAGTATCTGATTTCGGTAGAGTATTGACAGTGTAATGCAGCTGATGACCTTCCACTATGTGTTCATGCAGAAAACTCAATAAAAATAATATATACTAAAACCTCCGATTTATCATTAACATTAAATAGAATATCTTATTCCCTTGAATGTTTTTCTAAATTTTCCATAGGAGGGAAATGATTAATTTGGGATAGGTGTATAAAAGGAAGCAGTTTGGGTGATATTAGAGCAGAATTAGTTTTACATAGGCTACCATAACTATTACAATCAAGTAATGCACTATTCTTCTATATTAGAGAGATGTTACTAAAAAAGAATATTTATCCATAATGTTAGCTTTGATTTTATTTACTGCAGTTGCTTGATAACATGAAATACTATGTATGGATCATTGCTTGTAAGGACTACAGTCATGATAAAGCATAAACAGCTTCATGCAGTAATGACTTAGACTGCTAATGCAAAAGACCCCTCATCATAGTAAGAAAGCTTATTGCCCTTCCAAGGCAAGAAAAGTATTTTTCATCTTATGCCATCAAAATTCCTTTTAACCACAAGATTTGCATCTTAAGACACTTCTTAATGCAGACAAATGCTTAAAATAGTCAGCTTGGGATTTGGTCTTTGAGCAGAGAAGTTTGGCAGATGAGGGACTTCATCTCAGCAGTGGAGTGAGGTGCTTATAATTAAATTCCAGTTCTAGGGTGGGTAAACACAGTCGCTCCTTCCTTAACCATTCTTTTGTAACTTATGCTGTATGATTTTTCCAATTGTTTGCACTCAGTTCATAGTAGACTAGTTAGTATTCTAAGCTGCTGACATGACAAGATTTTTTGTTTGGGGATTATTTTGGTTTTTTTTATTTTTTGTTTTCTTTATGTGTTACTGGAATGCCACTGGTGGGTGTCACTGTATCTTATGTGTAATTTTGCAGTTCTACTGCAGGATTAAAAACAAACAAACCCTGAACTGTGAAAACAACTCTGATGTATTTAAGTGCTTGTGTGCATCAATAAATACCTGAAAACAGATTTAATGCCAGAGTATGGCTGCTGTCATCTAATTAGAATCTTGGTACTTCTGCTGCTGCATATTTTTAAACACTTTAAGGACTGATTAGCAGATTTGTGGTCTAGAACTAAATGCTGTACACATCTTAACACATTGTGATTAGAACTGGAAGAAGGAGTCGCTAAGTGTGTTCCATACCCACTTCCTTAAATGAAAACGTGTCTCAGGAAAGGGCCTAGCCTTCATTTATAAGGTAAAGAACTGCTTCAATTTGAAGGAAGATCCACATTAAACACACTTTGATCACTCATTACCCTTCAGGCCACATTATTAAAAAATCTTGAAAGAATCGCCTTTGCTTTCATTGGACTTTGGGTTTTATGTCTCAGCCTCAGGAGTTGCCAGAATATACTTAGATAAGTGAGATGCATGGATGCAGGGTGTTAGGTCTAGCAGAACTCACTGGAAGTCAATTCAGAAGCTGTGATTTAAAAAATGGTGATTCTTCATTCATTTTGTACTTTATCCCTTTTATTTTCATAAGTAAGGTAATATTATAGGAAAAAAGTCTGTAGTATAGAAAAGAGAGAAAGCTGATCAATTATGACTGAATGTCTACAGCAATTTAATTATATATAATTTCATTCTCATCTAGATTTGCCTGCAATGGATAACTCAGTGTTTCTGGAATTACATGGACTGGAGTGAGATTTGCCACTACATTGCTATATGCATTTTTCTTGGCCCCGATTATCAAGTATATATGTGTATTTCACTGTTCAGACACCTGCAGCAAGATATCCTGAAGCACACCGAAGCCCAAGATCTCCAAGTTTTTCTTAAAGTAAGGGTTTATTTTTTAGTTTTTCAATTGCTGAAGGAAAGCAAAGCTCTCAATACTGACACTATATACGTTACTTAATCTGAAGCTCTTACTGAATTTCACTTACTGATTTTAAGTGAGCGAAGTAATACTTTTATTTACTTCCAGGCAGGAAACTGTGGCATACTATTTTCCAGATAATAGCTTTCCAGCATTTTGTCCTGATCAGTTCCCTTTGTGAGCAAAGCAAATAGCCAAATTAAGTCATGAAGACATTTGCTTCAGTTCTCTCCATATGGCCCCAATCTTATTAGGTTAGATGTTCTTCAGAAAGGTGGGTTTACACAGGGGTCTCCTAGGGGAGCTTCAAGAAATGTGGAACAAAGCTCAGTGAGCTGTTACTTTGAACAGATGCTAGTTACTATACAACCACCCACACAGTTTGCCATATTATGAATTACATTTGGGTATTGGATTCTTTTTACAGGATGCTTAGCTATGGATGCAGTCATTAATAGATACAAATATTTGACTCTTATTCCCAGAGAAATTTTTGCTTTTTTTTTCTCTAGTCTTTTTTTAATTTTTTTTTTCTCCAGAGCTGTATGTCTGCATCTTAGTGTGTTCTACAACAATAGATTTCTGACAAGTTTGCATGCAACTTATATATTCTTAAATATGAATAATATATCAACTCAATCATTTTTCTCGAACACATTTGGTACCCAGTCTGAGTTAATTGCTTCACCTGGTTTTGGTAAATGTAGCTTAAAAACTACTTCATCTTGATGTCATTATTGGGATAGACTGTGTAAATTATAGAAGAGAGTATTTGTATGTTGTCCCCTACAGTTTAAACAGGCCAAAGATTTGACATGGTACTATTAAATTAACGAGAAATACTCTATGTTACTGCACTACTGGAGTATTTACAATTCATTGACTGACTGCTACAGAAAAGGAGGAATTAATAGCATACATAAACTGTACTCTTGCTTTTGACAGTTCTTAATTAAGCTAAAAAAAAAATTGTATCACTGTATTAATTCAATTTCCGCTATATTATGGGCTTCACGTGAGGTTACCCGGGTTTAATACTTGTGAAGGTATTAGTCAGTTGCCTTTTTATTGAAATACCCAGATTCAGTTTTATGATTTAGCCTGTTTCTCAGCACAAGATTCACAAATTTGGATTACTGTTAAGAAAAAAATGAACACACCTACAACCTTTGAATATTCATTTTACATTTTTTTTAGTGTGATGTCACCTCTTGAACTTCATACTAGCAATAGTCATTTGCTATATGAACATGTCCTGCTATTTTCCTTCCAATAACCAGCAGTACTTTCTGTTTTTAAGCTTCTAACATGCTTTATATCTGTCATGAAAAGATGATGATTTGACAGCATTACAACTTTGTTGGTATTATCTAATAAATAGTTCCAGCTAGCTATTAAAATTTAAACCAAATATTTTTTTGTGAAATATATATTTTCATTTGCACATGAAAAAAGAAGTTGGAGACAACTTTGCTGTCAGTTCAGATGACATTCTGCTTAGCACTTAAACTAAGTAAAACATTCACCCTTTCAATGTATCCTTCTAGAGGTAAAAAAATGACCACCTGTGAAAGAGATCATCTTCTGTTACTCTATAATTTACCTTTTTTCCGTGCCAAGAGGAAAGTAGAAGTAACAAATTGTCCATGAACACTTTTTCCCTTTTTCTGGTTCTTTCTTTTGTCTGAGATGGGTTACTTACAGTTATGATCCCTTTGAGATGTCCTGAAGTTTTGGCATTATCTGAATTTTAAATTTATTGTTTGGTCTTTTATTAATCCTGTCATGGAAAGATGAAGGTGCTTAGCTTTGTAATTTCCACATGTGAGCCAAGAACACTGTAACCTGCCACCTCAGTAAACCCATCTTGGCTATCTTGGTTTCACTGATTTCATTTGGATAAAATAGAGACTGGGGCTAGAGGATTTGTGACTTCTTGTAATAGCACACATAGGCCAGTACATCAGTCTCTTCTAGGAATCATTTAGCTACTTTCTGTTTTCTGTGAGTATGGGCCACATTACTGACAACTAAGTTGCTGACCAGTGCTTTAATATGTGCACACATTTAATCAATATAGATTTTGACTGCCTTTTTTTTTTTAAGAAAAAAAAATATCTTTTTTTTAAGAAAAAATTTTTTAAGGAAAAAAAAAAAAAGAAGAGTTAATTACCTACTACCATTCTCTACTGGGGTCAGTTTTCCACTGTAGTCAACCTTCTCACAGTGCATGAAGACCAACCTTTGTACCTTTGCTTTTATTTATGAGTAGGGAAGGAGAAATATAAAGACCTTCTCAAATTCCTGTTGAGATGCTGAAGTGCAGCCTTCACGCCTGAGTAGATACTCTCAGGAGAATTCTCCTAAACAGAGTTGCCCAGTCAGTACACCAGCAGTGACAACATGTGCCCACAAGGACTGTCTGGCTCCAGAGAGCTTTTTGCACAACGTGCTGCCAACAGTGGTAATAGTGCTTAGTAGATGGTGGGCACACAAGTTGTTCCAGTTTAGAGCAGCAACAAGTTCACCCATTTTAGCTAGATGGTTCTTCATGATCCTGCCTTCTGCAGTGCATCCTCCCTCTCTCTTTAATATACTTGCCACAAGAAGGAACACAGCCAATTAATTTCTTTTTCCTGAGGGCTCCTTCTTCTACTCTGTGTTTTGGAATCTGTAAGAATTAATCATTTGTGGTGATGCAGAAGTGTTTATTCTGTTTTTACTTAAGCACTTCAAAAAGATCTTTATCATAGATTTTAAAAGTATCTACTGTTACTCTTCTGGTTTTATTGAGAATCTAGTTGGATATTAAAGCCACACTAACTAACTTTTAGCATTCTGTGGGCTGGTATAGAAATCTTTTAAAATAATATTTTAATACTGGTCTTTGCCTTTTTAAAGCTGACTTTGTTTTCCTTAAAAATCTTCATATGGCATGTTCTCCAAAAATGCGATGAACAACATCCACCTGAAAAAACTGCTACCAAAACTGTAATTAGAAAGAACTGTCTGGAAGCAAATACTACCAATTCTTTATTTCTAAATGTAGTGAAATGTGTGTATTTTAAACACCCAGGCTGTGACAGTAGAACAAAATGAGCTATCTTTAGAAGCTTGGAATTCATTAGATTTGAGTTGTGCATCTTTTTTTCCTAGCTAATAAAATTTTTCTGTGTGTACTTGTGCAGGAAGAAGCACTCCATGGATTTCGAGTGAGTGGTTATTTAGAATACATGAAAAGCTTGGAGGAGATCTACAGACCTATGCTGCTGAAAGACATGAGGAACATAAGAGTACAGGATACATAGATGAAACAAACAAGCTCTTTATTTTCCAGATTTGATTACATCCTTTAAAAGGATGCTGATTGATTTATTTATTAATCTCACCTAAAATAATTTAGGCTGTGTAAATGTACATACTGTTAAATAAATAAGGAGGTTTTTCAGAATATAGTTTTTGCAAAAGGACTTACTCTGAGTTTGATGACCTAAAATACCACATTTTCCCAGGCAGACTATATACACAGCTTAATGAAGCAGTGAGCAGAAGGCAGCTTCAGAACCCACCTGTAGGATGCAGAAATGTCTTCCTTAGAACATTAAATCTTCTTTATGAAGCCCCTTGAACCTGTTTTCCAAGTCATCTCCTTGTAGCACTGTCCTGAAAGCTTCATATTTTGCTAGGATCTGGTAAAGTGATTTTTCTTAGAAACAACTGCTAGTGTGTATGCTTATGTATGAAATGTCAATGAATTACTGGTACACAGCTGTTCTGACTTTGTGGATAAGGTTGAGAAAATCATGTGTTCAAATATAAGGAAATGAAAAAATCCTGATGTCCCTATCTTTTTTTAAAAAATAAATCAATTTATGTCATATTTGTAATGTGCACTCTCTGTCTGCATAAGTGAATGAGAAGTCCTTAAGTGGCCTGCTTCTCCTAGCTCTGGAAAATGATTATTTTTAAAGATTCTGGTTTCATTCAGACAGGAAAACTAGACTTCAGACTTTGGTCTGAAGGCTGGGTTTGTCATTTTGTAATTACTTCATAGATGTTGTCTTTCTCTAGATCATCTATTAAGAATTTCATGGTGCCTAATAAAGTTTTACATTAAAAGGCCAAGGGACCTCTGGATAGGTTCTAAAACTGGTGCGTAGCTCCTTTTGGGTGCTGTGAAGAATCACACCTAGGAATCCTACTCCTGTATTTTGAGTTGGCTTACTAACAGTGGCTTAGGCAGTCACTGTCATTTTCTCTTCCTATCTTAGAGGTGGCAAGCAGTCTATTTTCAGAAGTATTGCAGTCAGTAGGCAAATCTTAGATGAAAGTTGACTTAATGGAAGAAAGGAAGTAATGGCTTCAATGGAGATTTTGCTTAGAAGGCTTCGTCTCTAGACACCCTCCCCCTGCTTCTCCCCCTACATGTGCCCTTTATTAATACATTTCTGCAAACCATGTTCTTTTAAAAAAATCTCTCAGAAACTCAGATCTAACACAACTGAGCCTTCATCTTGCCCAGCCTTGATCAAGACTTACCCGGCACCTGGATTTACAGTCTTTCCATGAAAATTTCATTTGAGGTCTTAAGATCCTGTGTTTGAACATAGTGTCTCTCACTAATAGCAAGTTCAGTGACAGCATCTAAGTCAGCTTTGCAGTTGGATGAAGTTAAAGTTCTACTCCATGCAAAACAGAAAACACTAGGTTATTACTTACTTTAAGAGTATAAGAGATTCTCTAGTGTCATCAAGTTCTTAAACAGCTTTTTGAAAACAAGATTATTTTTCACTTAGTCTTGGCCAATAAACCTGTTATCACCCAGAGATACTAATTTTCCCTGAGTAAATTTGCATGAATAATTCTGAAGTGTCTTGAAATTCGTGCTTCCCTCTTCAATTACCCAGAGTTTCTAAAAAGCAAATACTAAATGTATCTTTTTTATAAGATCTATCCTTTCTTAGGATTTCAGCCAAAGTAATAGTTACACTGCTTCAATTTAGAATGAAATGCCCTGTTTGGGCAGTTGTCGATAAAGAGATTTTTGGTCTTGGTAATTATTTTGCATAGAAAATTGGTAAATTGCCCTGTACCTTGCAGTACCAGACCCTGAGTTCTTCAGTGTTTCCAATGGCATTGCTTAATAAAGTGAAACGAGATTTAGCTTATCTAGCAAAATATTACTTATCATCTGTATTCTTACACTGTGAAGTGTAAGTATCCGGCATAATTGGACAAGTCCCTGCTACAGCTAGTTTAATAACTAAGTATAAATTCCCCAAATGCATCCTAGCTATGCAGGCAACATTACCAGATCATGTTACTTAGTGAAAGTTGAGCATTAAGTAGTTCTTGATTTGGTTAAAGAGCTAGGGAAAACACTGTTTTATCAAAACCTGCAATAACCTTTTCTTTACAGAATGTCTGGAATCTCAAAATAATTTGATTAGAATTTATGATATAATACCAGTCCAACAGAAATCACAAATGTTGATTATCCAGTATCATTGCCACACTTCCCCATGAGACAAACTAAACTCTACTGCAAAGTTCTTGAAAAACAACTTCACTAGATGAAACAAATGTGTGAGCACATACACAAATTCAAATTAGATGATACATTAGAACCTGCAGTGAAATTTCTGTAATTATATGCAACCTAAGAGTGAGCAGCACTGTCAAAGGTTTTGCCAGTAATTTCTATTTTCCTGACTGTGCATTTCATAAGTTCATTGGTTTAGCTTTTTTCTTGTCTAGTAAAAAAAATAGTTTTTAAATATTGTTGGACTTCTGTGAACTGTGTTGGCTCACCTACGTTAATGAAAGAGTCTGGCAAGTACGATGAATATGACAACTGATGGAACCAACTATTTGCCTGACACCAGGATCAAAGAATGCTAAGACTCCTATAAAAAAATCTGTTCTTTTAACCTTAATAACAGCCTTTATTAAAAAGAAAAATTTTTTGGCATATGTCTCAAAATAACCAAATGACAAACTACCAGATAGTGAATAACACTAGAAAACTAATATATATGTGTTTCTAGAAATTCTAAACATTTTTAAAGAGACCGTTGCTGATGGTTATTAAGCTACCAGTTACAAAGTCATCAGTACCTTTATCGGCAGCAGATATTTGTGAGGAAAATGAGTTCTTGTGCTAGGGACTTGAGTAACCCAGGGACTCTTGCCATCTAACGAGCTGCCACTTTGTATTCCTCATCCCCTGACAAAGCAGAGGGAGGCACTGCAGAGCCAACCCTTAATATCAACAGCTTTCATCAATACTGCATCAAATCAATGCAAAGAGGTACAGTACCCAATAATCAGGAAGATGAATCGAATACAAATATAAAGCAAACAGCCCGAGTACCAACTGTTGCTACGGACAAAAGCACTTCTTGCATTGCCTGCAGCAATTCAGTTCGCAGTTTCCCCGTCTGCAAAACAGCTACAATTTGATACAGCCCATGTTGGTGCTGAGATGATTAATTTGAGAACATTTGTAAAACATTAAGTGCATGAATACTCTTTGTAAATGCTAAATCTTAATACTTGATAATAACATAAAATTCCATTGTGCCTTATTACAGAAACAGGACAATGATAACACAAAACCAATGGCATGGATGGACAGTCTGAAAACAAATGATCATTTTAGTAACAGAAGTTCCCATGGTATATGAACTCTGCTTTGAAGACTATGTATCAATTTTATCCTTCACTCAGCTCTCCATTTTCTTCCAGGGAACTAAAGTAAACTGAGATGTAGGCACTTTCTATCTCTAAATCTATTTGTATTTTTCTGGTTGCCTCTTCAAGCTGCCTTTCCCCTCTGTTTTAATCTTGATTTAATTTCCCTCTCTCAGGCTTTTTCTCTCTCATTTTCAGCTGTCTTATGTTCCCAAACCCCAGTGAGAGTCTAAGCACCGGAGGAAAACGAAACATGACTTAAAATAAACATGGGGAAAAGAAAAATAATTTTAAAAATCCAAAAACAAAACAAACAAACAAACACAAAAAAGCCAAAACTCAACTTGGAAAAACTGAGAAGCCAGTTGTAGGAAGACATGAACCCCCCCAGAAGCAATGCTCACTGCAGGGTGCTGAGCACTGCTGCCTCTGCCTGTCACATTCCCCTAACCATCAGCCAGGGTTCCATGCTGAATAGAAACACCTGTGTTATCCCTAAAAGCCACACAGACTCCAGGCCACCTTCTTCAGCAGTCTCTGCAGCATGACTCAGCCTTTTGGGATAAAAATCAGTAAACTACAAATAGTATTTTTCACCTGTTCGTGTTTGCCATGGCACCTTTTGCCAAGTTATTCTGAAAACTTTGAGTATCTATCTAAACAAATACAAGTAATGCTTAATTGCTTTTGTAAAAATGGCAGTTCTGCAGGTGGAAACAAATTCCTCATTATTGTATGTAGTGTTGATGGAACAAGAAAAATACTGGCAGCGGAAGCAACCAGAAGGTTAAAAAAACTGTAGTGCTGGTAGGAAAGAAATAGAACAAAGTTAAATAAACTGTTTTCTGCTGTTTTAAGATTCCCATCTCAAACAACCACTGGGTCCACAGATAAACAGTCTCAGCTTCTCTAAACCATTTTGTGTTGTCTTAAAGCAACTTCTAGCTAATCCATAGCAATATTCCATTGATTTCAAGAGAAGCTAAATTGAGTAACCTTAAAAGATCCCAGTAAACAGGCTGAATTTCAGTATAACATGTTATCATTAGTGACAAGAGATCACAATACAAAATAAAAGCAGAAACTGCTGAGCTGGCATTCAGAAGGAAGCTGGAAAATGCCAGGCTACAGGCAATGCTGAGGTGTCCTGTAACATACAGTAGTTACAACACTTTGTTGCCAATATCTTTGCATTTCATCACCTCTGGCTTGAGAAACATCCTCTATAGCTTGTTCAGATAGTAGTAGTGAACATGTACTCAGTTCAATCATTTGCATTTTCGATACAGGGATGATGTTTCAAGGACGGCAAGAAATACGGCAAGAAGAATGGATTTGGCATCAGTAGAGTTTCAGTATACACGTGTTCACTGCCCCTGCTAAGAGCAATGCTCAGCTTACAGCAGGTCCTTCACTTACTGCTGAGTTAGAGTAGCAGCTTCCCAGGGAAGGAAACTGGGAATTTCTCATAATTTGAGAAAAAAAGGTACAATATTGCACATCATTACTAAAAACCAACCACTGAAAGCAATTACTTTAGGCTGCATTTCCTACGGAAGTGGGCAGCTTCATCAGGCTTGTCCACACACCAGGCAGGACA